CCCTTTTGTCCATTTGAAGTGGTTTTGGTCGACACACCCTTTCATGGTATGGAAAAGTGGTAGGACCTTTTCGTCCACTCTTGCTATAAATCTGCCTAGCGCTGTCAGCCTTTCGTTGATTTCTTGGACCCCCTTTTAAGCTGTGTGGGGCCCTGGAGTCGAGAAATTCGTGGATCTTGGTTTGGTTTGGTGCAATCCCTTCTTTGGTTATCTAGTAGCCCATGAAGTGGTCCTATTCCACCCCGAAAGTGCATTTTCCTGGGTTGACTTTCATTTATGCCTGCGCCAGGGTCTGGAGGGTCTCCTCGATGTCTCGAAGCAACGTTGTTTCGTTACGGCTTTTAATGACCATGTCATCGAGATAGACCTCAACATGTTTCCCAATCTGTTTAGCAAAGACTTTGTCCATCAGGCACTGGTATCTCGTCTCGACATTTTTAAGGTCGAATGGCATTTACTGGTAACAGAACGTGCCCCGGTCGGTGTGGAAAGCTGTCTTTTCCTCATCTTTCCGGCACATCTGGACTTGATGATAGCCTTTGTAGGCTTCAATGAAACATTTAAGTTGGAAGCCTTCCAAGGATTCGAACTTCTGGTCTATATCCGGGAGGGGATAATGGTCTTTTGGGAATGCGTTGTTCGAATCAGCATAGTCGATGCACATTCTCCACGAGCCGTCGTATTTATTTACCATTACCGGGTTTGCTATCCATGTCGGGAATATTGTTTCCCGAAGGAGGCCCGCGTCCATGAGCTTCAAAACCTGGTCATTAATTGCCTTGTTTCTATTGCTTGCCTGCCTCTTCTCTTTTGCTTTATCGGTATGCTACCCGGTATAATGTTTAGACTATGCTCGATGATCTTTCGGTCCACCCCAGTCATATATGCAGGCTGCCACGCGAACACCCCGGAGAATCATGTTAGGAGTGCAACCAGCTGAGCTTTAGTTTCCGCCGAGAGATCGTCCCCGGTCTTTATTGCTTGCTCAGGGTGGCCACTATGTATTAAGGAGAATTTGATGGTTTTGTCCTACTCTCTCTTCTACCGTGTCTGACTAACGTGAGTGGGAGGTATATTTTTCCAAGAGGCCACATGTTGTGTCTTGTGAAATCTACCAAGGTTCCGCCTTCTAAGGGCTTTAACTCCTCCTTCCAGGATTCTGGTAGTTGCCAGAAGCAATGTTCTTATATAATTTCCGTGCTGCTGCCGTTGTCTATGTAGACTCGATGTGTTTGTGACGTATACAGGCGGTTATAAGAAGTGGGTCTTTGGGATTCCAGTCTTGAGGTCTCGGGTCTTCCGAGGAGAAGCTAATGTTTTGGATTTTTTGGTTCAACGTTGTTACTTCGTGGTTTTCCTGGTGTTGTTCATGTTCTTGCGTTGTCTGTTGATCATGAGCATTCTTTCCTGCTGTTGTTGCTTTTCTGACGTAGGCATGTTGCTGTCTGTAATGGAAAGCGACGAGCTCCATATACTCGATGCGAATTCTATGACATCCTCGTGCTTGATGCCGAGTGGCCAATTTTGCTGGCTGATAGCATTTCTCTTGCAGAGCCGATGTCATCATTTTGCGACGAGATAGGTCTTGTGTTCACCATGCAGACATGTAACGTCGTATATCGGGTTGTGTGGCACCGAGTACATTTCCGGATGGCGCTAAAGGTTGTGATATGTCTCCGACTTGACTCCGTCTTCTTTGACGTATGAAAAAGAAAGACCGATGATCACAGTACAAGAGAAGAAATCTTTTATACTTCATCTGGGGGGGGGGAGGCTCCCGGAACGAGGCTCCGTGGTCAAGTTAGTTTTTTCCTTGAGAGATGAGAGATCTAGTCTATTCAAGAGGAGAAGAGAACTAGAAGATTATCGGTCCCTTCTCTTGGAGAAGAAGGGACCTTTTTATACATGTCCTTGGGGGAACAGATCCCTAACAATATCTTTTACCTTTTCAGGTCCTGCAGATCGTAGAGGTTTTTCATTGGTGGGACGTTCCCTACACATGGTTGTTATTATTGGTGCAACGTTGTCGGGAGGTGGGTTCAGAGCACAATCCTTGTCTCTGTGGGAGCCGAAAGTACTCTTCTGTCCTGTGGGAGATGTGGGCCCTATTTATGGAGGGTTGTCCCTGATTAGTGGAATACGAGATGAGTACGCGAGGGTTCTTAGGCGATGGTCCGGGTTTGGCACTCTCCCAAGTGGCATTCCTTGACCGGGTTGCTTTCTGGTTAATGCTTCTGTTACCCTGTATTCTTAGTGAGATATGTCAACACTATGGCACTTCACCAGAGGATAACCGACAAGTACATATAACATACGGTTCTACAGATCACTATGGCAACACAACATACTCGATACTAGGATATAGATCTAACAGATTACTACAACATAACATCATACTTAATACTAGGATACAGATCTAACAGATGACTACAACATAACAACATACTTGATACCAGGATACAGATCTAACAGATGACTACAACATAACAACATACTCGATACCAGGATACAGATTTAACAAATCACTACAGCATAGCAACATACTAAGTATCAGAATCCAATGAGTGTATGACCATATATATTCAGAGGTGAGATAGCCACCTGGACAAGTGGTCCTACTCTAGAACCACAACCAAACAAGGAACATGTAAGAGAACCTAGAAGAAGAGTCCTCAATTTATCCTACATGACTATATACAGTCCCTACGACATCCTTCTACTAACAGATACCCAAAACTAGTGGGCCGGTATTAGTGCCTGCGACCCACGATACAATGAGGCGAAACTCACCTGAAATGAAGAAACCCGAGAACACCGCGATATGCTCCATGCTACACTGCTTTCTCCCGCAGATCCATTAACATCAGTATCAATAAGATCTTAATCACCAATCAAAACCCTCAAGTTTGACCTAAAGTCAAACTTGGTCAAAAAGCCAACGGTTAACGTAGTTAACAAAAGTCAAAATCCAAGGCTGGCTGAGTACGCCGCTCTATAGGTCACCTATTCAACGGGTAGAGACCAAGGCTTAACTATGGCTCAAAATACCCAAAATACCCTTAAGTCAAGCTTGGTTAACCCTGGTCAAAGTCAGAAAATCAAAAGTCAAACTTGTTCAATATTGCTGAGTACGCCCCGCGTACTCAACTCGTATGCCCCACGTATACGAGTATTGACCCAAATTACAGACTAGTTGACTTAGTATGCCCGACATACCTGGGTTACGCCCAGCGTATGCTGCCTGTTCTCCATTCATCCATTAAGAGCTTATTCCTTAAGCCCTTTTGCTTAAATTGCAGATCCAACCTTAAACTAACGTCCTTAACCATAAAGTTTTCGACTTTATGGTCTTGCATGGCTAATAAGTGCTTAATGTCCAAGACCCTATGTTCTTAACCCACTAAGACCCTCTAACACATGCATATGCTAAATATCACCTTCAAGATCACATTTTTTATGCTTCAAGACACTCCCAAAGCTCTGAAAGGACAGCTCAAAAGGATTAGAGTACCACATACTCTTAATACTAAGCTCATGGGACCAAAATAACCACAAATCTAAGGCTAACAAGACCTAAATTAAATCAACATCAAGTTCACAACTTTATACCTCCAAATGGTGCCAAAAGATGATGGAATCTTGGATCCAAAGTGTTCCACTGTTCAAGGATGATCTTCTCTTCCAACTTGCTCCTTCAAGGATACCAAAATATACATAAGGCTAAAAAATGCACTAGAGAGGATTAGGGTTGGCTAAGGAATGATTTTCCAGATGAAGGCTGAAGGGTGAATGAGAAATGAGGAGTTAATGTTGTATATGTGTATGGACGAAACCCTAAAAATTAGGGTTTGAGGATCCACCACCTACGCCCTGTGTACGCGGAGTACGTCCAGTGGACTAAGCTCCACCCAAGTACGTCCAACGTACATAACGTACGCCCAACATACAAAGTCCTTAGCCAAAATCACCAAAATGCCACAAAGGGCAAAAATGCAAATAATTATCATACTAAGGGAGGGTTAAAAGATAAATACTTGAAAATCGGGATGTTACAGGGAGACTAGAAAGAAATACGTTGCTTACAATCTTTTATAAACTGGTTTGAACCGGCCGATGGAACCGATTAGATTAGACCAGTAACCGACAATGAAGCGATTCAACTAGCAGATGTTCTATGTCTATTTCTAAACCAGAACGAACTGGTCGGTTTTACAAAAATACGGTTGAACCGATTAAATTGAACCATTATAACCGTGTTGAAGAAGTGAAATTAAATAAATACACATAAAAATGAGGCATTTTACATAACAAACTTTGATGGTATTTTCATTTCTATTTAGATTTCTCTTATCATTGTATACATCTTTGTTTCATAATCAGATCCATTCATTGCAATGTCACAAAGTGAATACGGAACCTATTGAATATGAAATAATTAATAATGTTTAACTTGATTTTTAATGTTTATATTAACTTTGTTATCAAAAATGATAAATGTTATAAAGTTTTTTGATGTGGATGTATTAATTTTTGTTTTAGTATTATAATTTATTATTTTTTTAGTGTATTTTAATTGATATATATATACGGCTTACGCAGGAAAAAGAAAACGAAAATTTTGGAAACCGGTTTCCCTACTCTTGAACGAGGGCAGCTAATCCAAGAAGTAAATGAACAAGGGCAACTAACGTGGCATTCGCTTAAAGGCTGGTCAACAGTGAAAACACGACATTCCTCAGGATAATATGGCTTCCAAGTTTCAACTTATCTTTCTTCAACTCGGCTTAAAACTTAAAAGCCACTAATTCATTAATTATATTTAATTTTAAGAAGGCGTAAAAATGTTTTTTTATTATAAATATAATGATTTAGGAATATAAATATATTATGGCATGTGAAATCATAGGCTGTCCTTAAAGATTCTCAAGAACATACCACCACACAAATCTCAAGAACATTAACTCACACAAAAACACACAGTCATGAAGAGCCATTTTTGCATGCCAACAAGGATAAGAGCTAACCGGAAAAGCACCAACCTGTCACCGATGTCGCTACTTGACCGCTTCCGGGAGGCAGTTTTCCGGTTGATCATGATATCAGCACTCTCCAGAGCCAACTCCACCACCTCCACCACCGCCTACACATCCACCTCCACTTACGATAGTCAATCACCCATACGGTTGTCCTCAAGGTCTTCATCCAAATCTTCTCCGGCAGCCACTAGTCGTCACCACAACCGCTCATACCATCATTACGCAAGTGATTCACATCATACTGAAGCGGTGGCTGATTGCATAGAGTTCATCAAAAGATCTGCAAATGATGAAATCAGAGGTTCTACTGCTAGTAGTAGCAGTCGGAGTCCTGTTTATGATAACAGTACCGAGATTGTTATTCCACTTCCAGTTATGTGATTCCAAATCCTTTTCTTTTTTATTTCAAAACACAATATTTCATCAGCAAGTATCTGAACAGATCAACTTTAAACCATATATATATTTCAACGGAATATATATATATATATATATATATATATATATATATATATATATATATATATATATATATATATATATGTTTGAAGTATCTTACAGATATTACTATAAATTTTGTGTTATGGTTGTTCATATTTTTTTTATTGAAGCCGGAAAGTGTGGACAATTGCTGTAAAAATCTTGATCATGGATTGTTTGAATCATAATTTAGTTGCTCTCGATACGGTTTATGTTTTAAATAAACATGCAATTCAAATGTTTGTTGTTAAATTCTTGTCATTGTGGAATGTTATATTCAGGTTTATTTTTACGAAAATAAAATCAATTGAAGTAAAATGAACTTTTGGTGAATTTCTTTGTTATCTTTTTTTCTTTTCTTTTCTTTTTTTTGGGAAATTTTGTCCTATTATTTGTCACATCAACTTTGCCATGATTTTTAAAGGAATAAATGTATATCACATTATTTTAATTACCAATGGCCATTTGTGTATTTTTCAATAAAAATAGATTGTATGTTGATGTTGAATTAAAACGTCAAAATATTTTTTATGACTACTTGTTTAACTAGTTACTGTGTTTTCATTGAATTTATTTATTAATATAAACTTTTATTGGAATAATTACTGTTTGAGGATTGTTTTTTATTATTCCTAGATAGAATGAGGGTTTAGATTGTAAATAATGGAGTTAGTTAGCTGATAGTAAGTGGTAATCTGTTATATTGTAATGTTCTAGCTTCATATTTCAATTAATGGAACATCTTTACAATTTTCTCTGATAATCCTAACTTCTCCATGAACAACACTGCTGGAAGTAATGACTCTTCTCAAATAAATTTGATCAATAATCAATATCAACAACTAAGTGGTCAGTTTCAACAATTAATGTCTATGATGAATGCTGTAAAGAATGGAGGTAATTCTGTTGACAAGAATGGAGTTACAGATTCTCAAGACATTGGAAATTCTTCTAGCACCAATTTTGCTGGTAATACTCATTCTACATATAAAGCTCCTGTTAATTGTCATTTCTTAACCACTTCAACTTCCACTTGGATCATTGATTCTGGTGCTAGTAATCATGTGTGCCATGATATGTCTTTTTTGTTTCATATCAGAAAACTTGATCGTCCTCATTCTATCACTCTTCCAAATGGCCATAAAACATATGCTTTTGAAGTTGGAAATACATTCATCACTGATAATGTAGTTCTAACAAATGTGTTGTATGTGCTTATATTTCAATATAATCTTCTTTCTATTGGAAGGTTATGCAAACAGTTCAAATCTTTTGTTGTGTTTTCTGAACAATATTGCTTCTTATTGCAGGGCCCTTCTATGAAGAGGCCTCTGGTTCTTGGTAGATATCAATCTGGTCTTTACATCTTCAAGTCAAGATCTCAAGGAAATAATAGCACTGCTTTGTCTGTTACTTCTGATTCAAAACATTCTAATTCCTATATGTTCTTTGTTCAGTCTCTTTGTAATGTTGTGTCTAGTGATGATGTTGTTTCATTATGACACAAACGTCTTGGTCATTTACCATTGTACAAACTTAAAAGCTTGAGTTTTCTTAGTTCTAATCTTTGTAATGATGAATTTGTTTGTGATGTATGTCCAAAGGCTAGACAACACAAACTTCCTTTTAAACAAAGTTCCATTCATACTTCAGCATCATTTGATTTGATTTATGTTAATACATGGGGTCCATACAACACCAAAACATATAATGGACAATGTTACTTCTTAACATTAGTTGATGATTTCACAAGATCCACATGGACTCATCTTTTAAGTACAAAGAGTAATGCTTTTCAAGTTCTTAAAGGATTTATAGCGATGGTTGAGAATCAATTTGAGAAACGAATAAAGATTTTGAGATCTGATAATGCTTTTGAACTCGGATCAAGCAAAGAAAGGGTTGATTTCTTACAAGAAAAGGGAATAATACATCAAACAACATGTAGAAGCTCTCCACAGCAAAATGGAGTAGTTGAAAGAAAACATAAACATCTTTTGGAAACTGCAAGAGCTCTCATGTTTCAATCCAATCTTCCATTAAAATTTTGGGGTGATTGTCTTCTTACAGCAACATATTTGATTAATAGATTTCCATCCAGAATCCTTAAAGGAAAATCTCCTTTTTCATTATTATATGGCACAGATCCCACTTATTCAAATTTGAAAGCTTTTGGTTGTTTATGTTTTGTCAATACCCTCAAGGAAAACAGGGACAAATTTCAACCAAGAGCAATGCCATGTGTGTTCATAGGATACCCTTTTGGGAAGAAAGGATACAAACTTTATGATTTCAATTCTCATAAGGTGGTAATTTCAAGGGATGTTCACTTCCATGAAAATATTTTTCCATACCACTCAAGAATCATGAATAATCAGCCCATTTCCATTTTTACCCCTCAAAATCATTTTGATCTTAATGATTCTGATTTTACCCCTCAAGGTCATTTTCAATCACCTTCAACAAATTCATCATTACAAAATCAATCATCTCCTTCAGTTTTATCACATTCACCATCATCTTCTTCAAACTCTTCAACTCCCTCTCCTCCTATTCTTAGAAGATCTGAAAGAGTTTCACATGCTCCTACAAAATTTCAAGATTACATATATGGAAGTGCAATTGAAAATTGCCCACATACTATCACAGATGTATTGTCTTCAAGTTCAGTTTGTTTTTCTACTCTTAATTCTGAAAGTAAAGATCTTATCAAACATATGGATGTTTTGTTTGAACCATCCAGTTATGAAGAAGCAGTTCAACATGAAGAATGGAGAGAAACCATGAATAAGGAGTTTGAAGCTTTGGAAGCCAACAAAACTTGGATTATTACAGATCTTCCTAAAGGGAAGAAACTAATTAATTGCAGATGGGTATATAACATAAAATACAAAGCTAATGGAGAGGTTGAAATATGTAAAGGACGATTAGTTGTCAAAGGTTATATGCAAAAGGCTGGTGTTGATTATACTGAAACCTTTTCACCTGTTGTCAAAATGACAACTATTCGTGCTTTAATTGCTACTGATGTTAAATATGGATGGGAAATGCATCAATTGGATGTGAATAATGCATTTTTGCATGGAGAATTAGATGAAGAAATCTATATGCAATTGCCACCTGGTCTAGAAGTTTCAAAGCCAAATCAAGTATGTAAATTGCAGAAATCATTATATAGATTGAAGTAGGCATCCAGACAATGGTATGCCAAATTGTCATCTGCCTTGAAAGACAAACGATATCAACATTCCAAGAATGATTATTCTTTATTCTACAAATCTATGGGGACTTTTGTTACATATGTGGTTGTGTATGTTGATGACATCATGGTGACTGGGAATAACAATGAAGAAGTCTCTCAATTGAAATCTTTTCTTGATGAAAGATTTAAAATTAAGGATTTAGGACTCCTTAATTTCTTTTTGGGAATTGAAGTTCTTTATGTCCCTTCTGGAGTAGTGTTAACACAAAGAAAGTTTGCTCAAGATCTGTTGAAAGAATTTAATTGTTCTGGAAAATCAATATGTCCCCATCCTTCAACTGGAAAGCTTACAATTAATGAAGGTGCTTCTCTTTCAGATCAAGAGAGTTATAGAAGGCTTGTTGGAAAGTTGAATTTTCTAACAAATACAAGACCAGACCTTGCATTTACAGTTCAAAATTTGAGCCAATTTATGACTGATCCTAGAGTTCCACATATGGAGGCTGCTTTGCATACTCTACGTTATATCATTAATGATCCAGCTCAAGGATTGTTTTTTAATAAAAAAGACGATTTTACCCTCCAAGCATATTGCGATTCTGATTGGGCTGCATGCCCACAGTCAAGAAGAAGTGTCAGTGGTTTTTTTGTGATGCTTGGAGGAAGTCCTGTCTCGTGGAAGTCAAAGAAACAAGTATCTGTTTCTTTAAGTCCAGCTGAAGCAGAATATAGAAGTATGAGACGAGTTACAGCTGAATTAGCTTGGTTATCCAGACTCCTTCATGAACTTTCTGTTACAAATGTTCTTCCAATACCAGTCAAATGTGATAATCAAGCTGCAATTTATATTGCTCGAAATCCAGTGTTCCACGAGAGGACAAAACATGTAGAATTGGATTGTCATTTTGTAAGGGAAAAGTTGCAAGAAGGATTAATATCTTTACATCATGTTCCTACTACTGAACAGCTTGCCGATATGTTTACAAAGAGTTTACCAAGTAAAAGTCATTACAATATTCTTAGCAAGTTGGGAGTTAATCACTCTCCAACTTGAGGGGGGATATTGGAATAATTACTGTTTGAGGATTGTTTTTTATTATTCCTAGATAGCATGAGGATGTAGATTGTAAATAATGGAGTTAGGTAGCTGATAGTAAGTGGTAATTAGCAGCTGTTATATTGTAATGTTCTAGCTTCATATTTCAATTAATGGAACATCTTTACAATTTTCTCTAATTCAAGAACTTTTTATAATATAATTTGATCTTGAAAGAATTTTAGGCAATATATTCCTCAATCATGGAAAAAGTATAATTTAGTTTAATATATTAATAAAATCTTTATCATTCGAGAAAAAAATCAATATAAAAATGCTATGAGAAAGGATATGTGTATAGAACCTTTTAACAAAACAATATTTATTCAATTTTCTAAAATCGAATTTATTCCAAACATATATATGACGTGCGATGGAAAAGAATGTGTTTCAAATACTTGGAAAAACAAGTCTCATAAGTCTCGTAAATCTTTGTTTGAGAAGAAAAATAAATCCGATATTAGGAACAGAAGTCTTACTGAAAATTTATTTGACTGCAAGGTCAAAAGCATATATTTGGTCTGTCGTGATTTTTCTCCTTATCTTTTTTTCTTTTTAAAACATCATTGAACGTTACAATGCAACGTAAGTCTTATTGAAAATTTATTTGAAAATACCACCAACTTTACTTAAAAAAAAGCATCTAAAACTTTTCAAGTATTCCAAAACATCTAAAAGTGAAAACTCAAGCAACCAAGTTCCAAGATGGTATCACCTAGATAAAATAATACAAAAAAAAACATATCTACCCAAATTTCTCGTCCTCACCAAGCCATCAATCCTTAGCTACACGTAACATCGCTCTAACATCGCAGGGCTAGGATGGCAACACAACAAGACCAAGTGTCAGCATCAGTACAGTAAGTTGATTTCAACTACAACAGATATGGAAACAAACAAATTTCATACAATGCACTTGGTCATACATATAGGCATATATGCATCAGATTTTATACCTATCATCACACATCAGATTTTATTATTAATATATAGTGGATATATATTAGTTTTGGCATATCATCACAATAATTATTATTTGATTTACTTTACTATAATTACTATGACTCTCGTCGCTAGCGTAGGTCTATAACATTGTTAACTCGTAACTCATTCGCTACTAACGTGATCGGCTCAACCCAATGAACTAAGTGAGGCACGACGCACACCCGTAACATTGCTCCCGATTCGTTCCGTTAGCTACTCCGACGTTACATGTACAAGAACGATGCATTTTCATTTGAGAGTGGTTCAAATGGTATTTATTTCTTCGCCAATACCCACACCAAAATATGATGCTTAATCTAGCGTCCTCATACAGCCAACATCACTCCAGTCCCCGTACACCGGTGTATACCGGTACCACGTTTCGAAATGGTAGTCTACAAAACCATTCGACATTGCCTTGGCTTAAGATCTTTTGCCCACTGATATACTTCCAACCTAACATGCCATCACTAAACCTGGATAGGGTACACACCTAAGTTTAGGTTCCTACCCTTTACCCCCTCTATGCGTATTCCCTAAATTAGTTAATAAATTTTCTCGCATGGGTCATACACACTCCTCGTCATTCATCATTATCTAATCATGCTTGTACTTTTATTCATTAATTTAAAGCATATTACACAACAATCATGTTATAAAAGCATGTAAACAAATTACACATTTTTTAAAAAATATTCATCGCTAGCATGCACTCCCTAATTCCAAGATAAGCATGATATACTAGAATCATAGCATGCATAAGTTTCACATTTTAATAATCAATCACAATCTTCACCACTAGCATGAACCTAACCGCCCATTTCATGTAAATTCATCATATCATGGTGTCTAGCATATAAATGTAGCCTAGTCAGTTTGTTCATAGAAGAACACCATGATTATAGCTCATACCTCACACATGAATCAGATTATAGCATCACATACAATATTCTACACCAAAACACTTGTTCTAAAACATGCAAGCATCCGTATTTGTACTAAACAACAACAAGAATGACTCACCTCTAATCCAAATGAAATGAACTAGGAACAAAGGAAACCAACCTTTCAGAAATAATCAAACACCCTAAAAGAAAACACAAAATACTGATCATAAATGGTTTATAAAACAAAACATGTTTAGTTTCATACCAAAATTTGTGCCGCAACAAGGGTAGGACCACGTCGTTCTTTGTCTCCATGTCGCGAATTGGAAATCTTCAAACCATGTCACCGCACGACAGTGACTTGTGTGTCGCGT